CCAAGTTATGTAAGATCACCGGAATAGGTGTTTGATCGACCACTATTCTTAACTTGAGATTACAACTAGCGTGCGCTGGACCTCGGTACTTCCCCGTCACGTGACAATGATCTCTAACCTTTCTAAAATTGTTGATGGGCTTTTTGCAATCTAAGCATTTCCATTCTTTGAACTCTTTTTCTTTGCCTTCAACTTTAACTATACGACAAAACTTGATTTTTTCTTCTTTTGTCTCTGGTGGTTTTGGAATATCACATTAACAGTGAGATTCATCTGCTTTTGCTCGATCTATCAACTTTTCACAGATCAAACATCTATGACAATTTTCGTAGATTTTTTGTAATTGATCGTTCCAAATCAACGGCTCTTTGTTTTTAAACGTTTCGTTTATATTCTCTGTTTCCTGAGAAAGTGATTCTACAAAATCAACAGCCGCGTCTTGACCTCTGTAAGTCTTTTGGCTAGTACAAACTCCATCGCATCTGACGACCGCGTATGAGTATCCGCAAGGCTTGTGAATCTGTGTTTTGACCGTGTTTGTGTCTGCCGGCGGTAATTTTTTTAAAACAGACTCAAAATCGGCGTAAATGACAAAAGGCGCGTCTTGCTTATTTTTGTAATTTTTGAACTTGAGTATATTCTCGCCTTCGACAGGCATTTCGACTTTACATGTAGGAACGTTGAAGCCTTGGCAATCTTCTTTGTGTCTGGCTAACTTTTCTTCCGTTTGGAAATGCGACATGCACTTGAAACACCAGTGTTTTTGGCCGTCGTGTTTATTGATGTCGCCCGTCAACCTAGAACAATTTTTAATCCAACAATAATGGTTCTTCTCGCCCTTGTTAAATAAAAGTAAATTGATAGGTTCCTCCGTGCGCTTGCTTTTGTGGAGAATGTAAATACCGGGTTTTTTTTGGTGTAACCGAACACATTGATCGCCAAGTTATTTTGCGATTCGATACGAGGGATTTGTGAAATCGGTGTTGGAAAGCTTATGTTTGTAAAATTTAAACCATCTGATTCTGACCGATAAGTCGAAGGTCGCTCCTTATTAATTTTATATTTTGGATTTGTTTCTAGCTGGCTTTTGACTCCGTCTGAATATATTTTTAAAGCTGCTCTCAACGCCCATCGGATACATTCTTGATCTTTATTTTCGACGTTTATGATTGCTTTTTTGTCTAACAGTTCCTTAGGCAACGGAATGTAAGAAGAACCCACTGGATTATATTTAACCACGTTGATGTAAAAAGCGACAACTTTGTCAAAGATCCAACCCGAGCCTTTTTGTGTATAAGCCTCCACCTGTTCGATTTGTTCTTCGCGTTGCTTAGCAAGTGCATTTTTAACGTCGGCTTTATTTGCTACTACATCTTGATCGCTCTGAAAGGGAAAGGTGCCGTAGTCAATCGTTTCGTCAAGTTTTTCCAATCTAAACTGCACTTTAAGATGTGTTTGTAATTTGTAACTCCCGATTTCTTTGAGTTCGGCCAACGCTGTTTTCTCTATCAACTGCTTGTAAAAATAAAAAAAATGTATTAAATCGTCTTCATAGAAGCGAGGAATCAACTCCCAATTACGAAAGTTATCTTTAAAACGCCTTATACGTTTGATGTCTACTTCCTCGAGTTCTTTACGTTGTGTANCCGTTTATTAGTTCAAATCGCGTATGATGTTTACGTTTTGGTGCAAGTAATGGGATGTTATACCGTTTGACAAAATCTTCTAAAAACGCCTTCTTAAATCGATTGAAATTCGTTAGTAGAGGTCTGTGTTGCTGGTTGCTCATATCTCTATTTTTATATAGATTTCTCAAATTTTTATCATTTTTTCTATCGACTTGACTTGACATGTTTTTTATAAATAGGTCATTTATTTAAGGCGGTTGTAAATATAGCGTGTTTTGCTTTGAACAGAGCCATGCTTTAAGTAGAGGTCACGAGTTCAGGTCTCGACTTGTTTGCGAGTGTTTGCCAGTCACGAGTTGTTTACAGCCGAGGTCTCAAAAGTTGAGTGGAATTCCCCGGCGCTTTTCACGGGTTGTTTAGCCAGCGAGCTAGCGAGCGGCGCCGGGGTCAAAAGGTGAGTGGAAATCCCCGAGATTTTTGGGTCGATGTACTACCCAAGGGTTTTGAGCAAAAACTGGGGTTTCACATCATTCCAGGATTTTTCCATTTTTCCACACCAAAAATGTTTCGACGATTTTTTGGGTCGATGTACTACCCAAGGGTTTTGAGCAAAAACCGGGCAAAAAGGGGCGTGTGCTCCAGAACTGTCACTTATATACTACTGCAAGTGTATTATTCCGTCATGCACGATAAACGCTTATCAAGCCCGAAGCTGGTGACGTGGAACTGCAAAGAAAATTACAGTACGCACAATCAAAGTATAGCTACTCAGCAATATATGGAAATAGTTCCCGCCCGAAGCTGGTGACGTGGAACTGCAAGTATATCTTGCATTGCGTTTCAGGCAAAGTGCAGCTATTCAGCAAAAAATTACAGAGATTGTTTCCGCCCGAGCTTGGTGACGCGGAACAGCAACTCATGTCAGCAAATACATAGAGGTATCAGCAAAAATGTATGGAAAGCAATTATCATATCAGCATTTGTTTCCGCCCAAAGCACATGGAGCGATAAATTAATTTTGGAATGTACCTGCGCGGTACAAAGCCTTCGATATGCAAATTCAAACAGCAATTACATCTGCGAAATGCAAAATTACCCAACTTTCATGAACAAATTGACAAGGATTTACTCCAGCATAAAATAACTTTGGGCCAACCATCAAACGCTGGGATCGGACAGCAATTTCCACATCATGTTGTGCCAGCTATGCGCTGCTGGGATGGAAACTACATAACCATGGCCATATTGATCTGTTTTTGAGTGACGTAGGATAAGTTCGACCCTTAAAGGGGAGTCTTTGACGGTAACATCAGACCGACACAACGGGCTAGAAGATTAGTGGGATTCGGCAGTAAATTCCCCAATGCGAAGGAACCCAAAAAAACGCAAGTAAGAAAGCCACTCGGAAAAGCCGAGAGTAGTGGGGGGGACTATCCAGCACAATTTGACCTTTGCGACAAAAATGGCAAAAGATCACATTAATATGCATAAGTATATGAATAATATGATATTGATATGAATTATGAATAGGAATGAGGTGTAGGGTGAAAAATTAGAGCACAGAATGACCTTGGGTAAGGGATAGGCATAGGATAAGGTCAGAAAGTCTGGCACAGGTTGACCTAGACTGTAGAGGGTGAATATTGGAGATATGAATATGAACATAGTGGGTTCAAAATTTTTGGCACAGGTTGACCTTGCTGATAATAAAAAATAGTGGATGAGTCATACAATGTGTGGTGGTATACGGACTGGCCCACCAGGCAATCCTAAGGGAATCAAGGAGTAGGTGCACTTGTCTTACATTTGTTACCACTTCTTGCAGATTTTATAATTCTAGAACAAAGATGCTGGGTTTAATGGGATGAGCGTCATGAAAGGGGTGATATGACCAAAGATGAAGGTAGGGGGAAGAAGTGAATGCGTCGCGTGGAGACATGACCCGTCCGTGGGGTAAACACGAAAAAATAAAATTCGGGGTTGAGAGAAAACGTTTAAGGCAGGGAGGATCCAGCACAATTTGACCATAGAAATACATATGTATAAAAATAAGAATAATAATGAGATTTATAGTCATAAGCGATGGAAGGAGGCGGACTGACCTTTCGTACAGCGTAATATAGTGTACAAATAGAGTGATACAGAGGGAATATAGGGAATAGGGTAAAAAGATGAAAATGGGAAGGTGGTAATCCCTACACATTGGACGGCACGGCCAGCCGTACTGGCAGCGAGATAATCCCTACACAATGAACCGCCAGACGAGCAAGGAGATAATTCCTAGACAATGGAACGCAATGGGTCTGGGGCGACGTTGGCTCGGACAATGGACGGCTCGTGGTGCCAAAGGATGGAGCCTTGGATAATAGTGGGGTTATTCGGAAGACGACGGGCTTGGACCGCGGCTTTTTGTTCGGACCGGTTTAATGGAACGTGAAAGAAGTTAATGCGTCGCGGGGAGACATGAAACGACCAGTCCGTGGGGTAAACACGAAAAAATGAAATTTGGAGTCGAGAGAAAACGTTTAAGGCAATGATGTTGACGCCGTAGTTCAAATGAATATTTGATTCGAAAGGTAGCAGATCGAGAGATAAATATGGAGAGCGGAATCCCAAACTGTCGGCCTACCCGATTAATGGTTTTGGCCTCCGAAGTAACGGAGCGACAGCTCGCTGAACTGGCTGGTAATCTCGTCAAAGAACAGGAGGGAACGAAACCGTGGGAAGAACTTTTGATGTCTCTCGGCCTTTCCAGCGCCGATTTATTTAGGTATAAAGAAGAAAACAGATTTAATTTGTGGGGGCAA